TGTTGGCTTACTCCATCTACTTCCACAAACCCGTGCTTGGCGGATTCTATTGTGTTCCCTTTTGTTTCGGGCCCCCTTTTTTTGGGGACCCCTTTGTTTCTTTTTTCTTTTTTTCTTAGCCCTGCAAAGCTCGGCTTGCTTGAAATGCAACCTAGAGGCAAATTGCAAGCATATCTAGGGGTCGTGCCAGCAGCATGTTAGATTTCGAATCCTTCACTCGTTTCCTGGACGGACGAGTGTCAGAACCCTCCCAGGTGCAATAGAACCCGTCTGTGGAATGGCCTCTAAAGAGAGACCCTGCAGCTTCATCTGAAGACTTGAACACAATCCTCCTTGGCCTCAAGGTCTTCAACAAGGGCCAGCTCTACAGCAAGATCCTGGACTGGGCCACCAATCACAATGTGGAAATGGCTTTGGCGGACATCAAAGCATGGTGCAGCAACTACTTGCAGGAAGTCAACAAGCAAGAGGCAGCCTGCGCAGAGCCCGCTGTGGCCACCCTGAAAGGGCCTGATTAAGCTCCCAGACGCAGTCCCCGACGATGTGCTGGAGAAGCTTTACTCCACAATGCCACACCTCATTTTGCGCAGCTTCTTGGCAAAACAAACGAGAGTGGTTTTAGTTTATCAAGGGCCACCAACCTTTGCGAATTCTTGATTCAACTCTGACTGCACCTGTTGCACACAAACTCTCTTCCACAGCTTTCCGGTAAAACTTCTCCCACGGCTCAAACTTGATCACAAGCGGGAAACCAAAGCTGAAACAGAATGGGTCTTGTCCAAGATTTTCTTCAGGTTCTTGCCGGGTATGGTGGCCAAGGTTGCTTTTTTAAAGGACGTTGTCCAAGGTTGCAACGAGCCACTGCCCGGCAAAGTCAGGCAACTGCAATCTGTGGTGGAACGCCCTCAACCCTGTACTGCTTGCACCTTTTGGGCTCGATTCCGGCGCTGAGCTCTTACAGCTGCTGCAAGAAGGCTTAACCAGTCAAAGGCGGAAGCTACGGTTTTTTGTTCAGGAGGACGAAGATCCAGCCAGGCGAAATATGAACCAGAATCCGAACAAATTTGATTTTGTGTCTATCGGATGTGGGGGTCAAAAATACGGGACCCTGCGGCCGCCGATGACACGAGGTAGGCCCACATATTTTGACCCAACCCCATGGCCAAGTTCGGGTCCAGCTTGCTAGACGTAGCTTTTGCGCGAGGCCCTTCGCGGCGAGCGGCTGGGAACTCATCCGCGCGGAGTTGGTCAGGGGCCTATGGCCGTCGGCTGGACACTCGTGGCCCAGTGAAGCCGAACATTGGGGCGACAGTGTACTTGCAGCTTCCAAGGAGCATAAGCTTTTGGGGTGAACAATCACAAAGTCGCAGGGATGGCGCACTTTGGTATCAGAGAACCTCCATGTGCTTAAGAATTGTATTTTGCCCTGGTCGTTTTAAAGGGAATCTATCACCATTGACATTTTTTGTTTTCCCAGGGGGCGGAAGAGAATGGGTTATTTCCTGTGGACATTTCCTTCGCGGTATAGGCTCGAGGAAGCATTTTCTGGACTCATCTCACAGGACACCGCCGGGTCCTTTTCTCTCCTGTTTGGTACATACCCGTGGGGGATCAGAAGGTCCGAACTACATGGGGTCACGAAAAAGATGAGATATTTCGACATGGGAAAAGTTTGACATGTTTGAGGGAATATTGATCAAACCCCACATGTGGGTGTTGTCAAAATGTTTGTTTTTTTGGTGCATCCCGGTCATGAAAGCGGCGGCACCAGGCCAAAAACCAAACCGGCCACATGTTTGACAACTTTTCCCCACGGGTTGAGCGGGGAGGGAATCAGAAATTGTGGTTTTGTTCTTGATTTGCCTTGAACGTAGCCTCCAAAAAGAGGCCGGTTCCTGCAGCAGAGGGCCCCCCAGTTGGACACCCCCCCCCTCCCCCGTATGCTCAAACTAGCTCTGGTTCTGTCCCGTTGACCCACATGATACGTTCATTGCCCATATTAAAGGTCCAAGTTGGAAGCGAGTGAGATGGAGATGGACTCTGCCAATGAAGCCATGAGTTGCGTGAGCCAGCGGCATGCGCCATTGTTCGACATCGATTTCCGATTCCGTTTTGCAGTTGGTGATCGTCTATGGCGTAAGAAAAAGGGACTCCTGTTTGCGTGAGCATCTCGTGGCCACTGCGGTTTGCTTTTGTGCGTCGTGAATTCTGAGAGAGAGGCCAACCGCTTCTGACATGATATGCAGGGACTTGATTGTGATGTGGCCATGGGTCAAAACCCAAATCGTTCCCCCAGTGAACATCCCAATCCCCACTAGAATCGGTTCTAAAATGGGTGGTGCAACCCCAAAAAATGGGATCCCAAAACGGTTTTGACAACCACAGCCATGTGGGTATGGGTCAAATTAAACCACCAGGGGAACGCAGGTTTAGTCCATGTGTCCATTTACCAGGATTCTATTTTGGGTACCTATTTTTGACCCACAGCCATGTGGCTCTGGGGAAACTGCCGCGCTTTCGGACATTAGATGCAGGTTCTAGAGCTGCTGGCCGAACGCTAAACGTGAAGAGGGCGACAAAAGAACGACACACTCATGACCCTGAACCCGCCAGCCTAGGTCCCCCAGCTTGGTGGCCTTTCTCACCGTTTCTTTTTTGGTTGGGAAACTAAAATAGACTACAGAAAAAAGGGCACCCTTATTCTAACCTCTCTACTGGAGGACCTAGGCTAACTATAGTAACTACTGTAGTATTGTACTGAGCGGGAAGGGAAAATTTCACCAATTCAGGGCTCCGAGTAAAGCGCTTGTGAAATTAGGGGTCCCATGTGTAGAAGGGCTTAATTTACACCGCACACGAATAGTCTTACAGAGTCTTACATTCTCAACTGAGTCCAAAGCTGGTGATTTTGTGCACCATTCGGTAAGAGGACAAAGATGTTGGAGCAGAAGGTGTTGTAGCATGAGTCCCTTTTTTGCCCTGCGTTGTCCCTATTTCTCATGCGTTGACGACTTTGTTCCCCTTACCAAGCCATGACTTTGTTGGGTTGAAGTCCTCTCCAGTTGTCTTTTAGAGACTCACACCCAGCGCCCTAGCGCCCAGGCGGACACGCAGGACAGCTCGTGTTTTTTGTTTGGTGCGACGAAGTGCACTGGGGATGCGAGAGATGGGGGGATAGAGTCAAAAGGCTGTGGCTCAATCACCGGCACCAAACTGGAACCCTGGTAAGTGGAAACATGGACCAAAACCCTGTTTCATTTTGAGCCACACCCAAAACTGCAGTGCGCCTGCCGTTGTCTTGAAGAAGTCCTTTGTCCAGTTCGATTTATGTTATAACAATGGCGAAGGAGCCAGCACCGCCTCGTGTGTTGGTTTCCCATAAGGATCACGATGAGAACTGTGAGCATCTTTTGAATTACTTGTGTGTTGATGTTAGATCAGCCGGTTCGACACTGTGTTACTTGTTGTTCGTAACATCCCATGTCATGATCCCTATGGCAACCATGAACCCGATCCCGAGATTGCTTATGCCCATCGCCCTTCACGCGCCTGAGAACAAAACACGCCTCTAACGCCTGCCAAGTCAACGGACGAGAAAACAGCACATTTTTCGTGGCCAAGAAATCCCGCACCCTGAAACATGGAAGGGAACAATTTTTCCACATTTCTGGCGAGTTTGGTGTCTGACGCAAGTAAAGAAGCGGAACTCGAGCGGCCTCAGATCCAATTCTGGGAGCTTCCTGAAGCATTTCACCTTGAGTCTCGGCCGGACCGACTGGTCTCCGTTGGGCCAGACCCCAACCCCTGATTCCCCAAAGTGTCTAAACAAAACCCGCGGTTTGGGAAAATAACGAGCTCGCCCCCCAATTTAGTATCACCTTGTCCGGGTTTTGGGTGGGATTGCCTTAAAGGAAACCTGGGCTTCGGGAATGAATTGGAAGGAGATTCCCTGAAAGGAAAGCACAAGGCGCCGGGAGTTCTGCTTGGGTCATTCCAGTTCTCATTCCCTGCGTCTCTCGAACCGATGGCAATTTCGGTTGCATGTGAGGAGGAAGAGAGTGCCGTGAAGGCCGGGATATGCTACGAAGCCTTTGTCAAGCACTCCTAGGTCCCCCAGCAGTGCCCATGCAGTGCCCTTGTACCCTTTTTTGGGGAAGGGTTCCCTTACTAAAATAGACTACAGGAGAAAGGTTACCCTTATTCTAACCACTCCACAGGAGGACCTAGACTCCCTCACTAACATGGAAACCCCCAGAAGGCTTCCGTCCATGGAACCGGGTCCTGCTGCACGAGAGGAAAGTAGTCTTTCTACAGGGGTCTACAAACTTCCATATTAGTCGGTGGGAGGGCAATCAGGCCCTCATACCGTATCAACTTGGGAGTCAGGATATGGAAGCTGGCCTTAACATTAACTTGTGCATTTTCAGGATGCCAGTTGCAAGCCCTGCTTTGACGCTACCAATTTGATGAAGATAATTGAACAATTTGCTTCGCAACTGGGTCCAACTGGGGTCGAAGATGATACTCGTATCTTTGATTGCTCAAAGTTGGGTACGGTTGCGACGCACTGTGAGCACATGTAATTTTATGGCACAGCACGGAAAGTCGAGGGAAAGGCGTCCGGAATCGCGGGATCAGTTTTGAGCTTCAACCTGTGTGGGGCTCAGCAATCTTCGCCCCTGGGATTTTGTTCTCATGTCATAATGTTGTACTTTTTATGCTTGGCTCACCATGCTTTTGCCTTCGCAACACGCAACCTAGGATATCGGCTTTAGGCCCCCTATGGGTTTTTGGTCATTTGCGGCTGAGTTGACACCTGGCACTCTGATCCCCCTGTACAAAAGGGGACAACTCGAGAAGTGACGCGCCTGATCTGTGTTGCTTTCAGTGGACCTTTGTTGTCTGGCGCACCACAACAGAACGAAGCGGAGTTTTGTTATTTATTTTTTTTTCGGGAACTTGGCGAAGACCTTTTCCAGATCAGCCAAAATGCACGCGTTATGGATGCCCGATTGAAAGCTGGGTGGCCTGGTCTCACCTTGATGTGCCCAAAGCATTGTGCAGACCTTCCCCTTGCGACATAGAAAGCCAGTTTTTGTTTCCCCATTCCTGAAAAGGACTTCTGCAAAAAGCTGAAAGCACCTTGAGAAGTGGTTTTCTGGCTTTGTGTGGGGTGCGGGGTGAGGCTTTTCTGCATGTTCAACGAGATGCGTCAGGTGCGGCTGGATGATGGCCTGGTGGAGTTGCTGCAGGCCGGTTGCATGGCCTGGTGACCATAGGTGTCCTGTTTGGTTTTGTTTCGGTTGAAAAATAGATGGGTTTCGAGCCCTGGTTTACCTGGTGGTTGAAGATCATCTACCAGGGAAACCCATCTATTTCCCCTAAAAGCACACCTATGCTGATGACTGGGCAGGGGGGGGGGGTGCCATGGGAGACTGAGAGTCGATTTTGCAGCCAACCCAAGTTTGCCACACTCAGTGGTCAACCCGAAGATTTAGGAGGCTGCCACGTAGACCTGAAGTGTCCACCATAACAAAAAGGGGGGGAGTGACGGGGGTGAGGGCGGAGTTGAGGTTTTGGGTGGGAGGCGCCGGCGGGGGGGGGGGTTGTATTGAAGGAAGCCCACCTCCCTGGCAATTTGGAATGCATCGGGGGGGAGGGGGGGATGGTGTACCCACTTACTCACTTCCTGAGTTCATGAACTTTAAACTTTTTGGGAAGACCATTTTAGTGGTAAATACAAAGTTTGGACATTTTTAAGGCCATCCACTCAGCCAGTGAGCTTACTTGAGATTTTGGGGAGCAGGAGATCGTAGGTTCAACCTGAGTTTGGTTGGTTCTACCTCTCGAAGGGCTTAGCTGTTGGTCCTCGCAAAGGGGGTGAGGCTCCTCACATGAAGGTTTCATTCCTTGCGGTCCCTGAATTCACATTGGCGCAGCATTCTGAAATCAGCTTCCTCAATCCAGTTGCGCGCAATCATCAGGCAGAGTTTTGTTCTTACTATTGTTCCTTGCGTCCTTGTGCTTCAAAGACATGTATTTTATATGTGGGTGTGTTCTTGAGGGTACCTTTGTTGGGTGTGTTTTAACGGGGAAGCAATGGTAAACCACACGTTTGTAGGTTCCTCTATTTTAAGAAGACAACCCCACATTATTACAGGTCCTGCGCCGCGATATTCCATCGATAGTAATTGGGAGATTGCACCTTTAGAGAAAGTAGTGGCTAGGAAGGGAGTTCCTTCTTGTGGTTTGCAGGTCTTCGGCAAGAACGGGTAGGCAACAAATTCCGACTTTGACCAATCCAGTCAGGAAGTGAGCGAGCCCTCTCTTGTGTTCTTAGCGGCAAACATCATTTTTAGACCCCATATGTGTTGAAAGTGCCCGTTTTTTTGCTAGCTGGTGCGAGAAGTAGGGAATGAGAAATGGAATTAAGCATTAATTGCTGGTGGTTTCCTAGGGTTCATTCAACCACATTCCCTCCAAATTAAACCTCATGTATACAACTATGATTATAATTGTCTATATATAGAGATCTGAAATCGATACACATATGTACCTGGAGTCTCCATGACCCTTCAAAAATGGGGGCATTCCCCAAAATTAAGGGGTCATAATCATGGGGTCCCATTTTTTGAGGGTCAGAAGGAGACTCGAGGTACAAAAGCGCTGGATCTACCGGTTTCGTGGTATTTGCGGGGGAATCATCCTTCCAGGGATTCTTCGAAGGGTGCGAAATGGCTTTTGTCCATCCACAGTACCCAGAGGCTTTCGATGTATTTAGGGCCCTCCAAGCAGAAAGGTTTTTTTCGACCCAACACCAATTCCCGGGGTGTCTGGAGAAAGGGTCTTCCATTGAAAGCCCCAGGCTCTGTACAAAAGCGCTGGGCCATTGGGGGGTGGGGGTAAGCGATCGCTTCATGTCTTGGCCGATCCAGGCCTTGGCCTCAGACTTGGCGGAGGAGTTCGCGGGGGAAGGCGGGTGGTCCGGTCCGAAAAAAAGAAAACCCGCGAGGTGGGAGACTCCTGCGACTCTTTGGCGGAGTGGCGAAATTTCGAGGGGTTATGTTCAGTTCCATGCGTTCCAAAAATCCGAATCTTTCAAAAGAAAACCACCCAACCATCCCGGGAAATGGATCTGGTTTTTGAAAAGAACGATGGCTGAAAATAGAAAATTGAACTCCTCACATCAAGTAGTCCCAGGTTTGCTGTTTTCCTGGAGTCCTGGTTTGCGAAAGTCCAGGTTTGGTAAAAAGTGTTCCTGGACTTTAGTCACTTTTTGGATTACCATTGTAGAGGCAGATATAAAAAGTTCGGTCACTTTCTGTTGGCCAGTGCGCTCGTCATGATTTCTGCCCCAAGAACTGCTTCCATACTCCCTTGGGTACCGTCCTTGAAAAGTGGTTGGGACGGTGGTTTGGAGTGGCCGAAGTGTCCAAAAACTTCCTTGGAGGGTGATGTCTTGGTCCACCGGCCGATAAAAATGACACAGTGCCTTTCGGGACGCGAGTGTGCCGGGACCCAAAGAGAGCCATTTCGGGGGCCTGATCCCCGTTTTGCCGGTCGGCGTTTTGCGTCCTGAATCCCCTTGGCCCCCTGCAGTTTGAAAAGTGTGGTAGTTTCCTCACGCTTGCTGCAGTCTTGCTGCTTCCCTGAAGGAATCCTGGGGATGGACAGGTCAATTGGTGAGTTCCTTTCGTTTTGGCTTAACGCTGTAACATGGGTGTGCATTGCAGCAATGCAGATGCCCATCATCATTTGATACATGAACATGCGCTCATAGAATTCAAACGCAAAAGAAGTGTCAGAGAACCAGCATGCCAGGCGCGGAAGAGACCCCTCCGGGCAACGCGAAGCCCGAGTTTGCCGTCGCAGCCCCAGGTTCTGAAACGTGCGAAATCTACCGAACGCCAACGCAGAAGATGAATTTGCTTATCCCCAACAACTAAAAAGGGCCTGCTGCATAATGTGCACATTGGCAACCTTGGCAAATGTTTGTTTGGGTGTTGAGTTGTTGTCCATTCATTTTTTTTTAATAATGGTGTTCCTGAAGAGTGAGTCACTGCCACCTTCTCCACAATGAGTAAAGGATGCAACGGGAGATAGGCAAACAGCAGCAAGCACATGGGAGCGGAGAGTCACCTGGGCTCAGGGAAGGGTACGGGAGCAAACATTTTGGGGGGTTGGAGTTCTCCTGGATTCTCCTTCTGACCCTTAAAAAATGGGACCCCATGACCGTATAATTTTGGGTAATGAGCCCATTTTGTAAGGGTCAGAAGGAGACTCCAGGTAGTCCTGCGGGATCCGGCTGGCTGACTCGGCTGACTCCCATAGACGTCTGTCAGCCCTCAAGGCACGACTCGCCCCATGAAATCCTCGAGGTGATGTCCAACGGAGACACAGTCTCTGAACCCAGTTGCCCTGTCTGATTCCGCGAAGTCAGAGAAGGGTGTGCCTTTTTGTTACTCACTTCCTGAGTTGGTGGACTTTAAACTTTTTGGAAAGACCAGTTTAGTGGTAAATAGAAAGTACAAACTTTTTTTGGCTAGTCAACTTGGGAAGTGAGTTTCTGACAGCACCCTTTTGTTGCGGCTTTCAAGTGAAGCCAAAAGGTGAGAACCCTCGCGCCATCTTGCGCCAGTTTTTGGGGAGTCCCCTATTTTATGGTCCAGAAATTCGGGCTCGAGCCTATGGCTCCAGGTTGATCAAAAGAAACATGTACTGTTCGTCTCCGGGCCATGCATGACAGCTGGGGGTAGGGCGGCCGGCTTAAGGGGACTACCCAAAATGGTCCACTCGGCTTCCGAGCCGAACGGAGACTCCCTCAGTCCAAGATGCATCTTCCCCAGAATGAGCTCCCCTTTTTATTATTGTTTTCGCTTGTTTGGGGTTCCTTTTGTTTTCCACTCACCAGGCAAAAAAGAGCTGGGGCCCTAATTCCAGCCAAGACATATGGGCACCCCGCCGCCGTCAGGGTGACACAAAGTTCCACATGGCCAATGCATTTTAATCTGTTCATGTTTTTTGCATCCCCAAACCACGAACCCCAGCACCACCTGAGAAGCAATGGGCTACACTTAGTGGCCCAGGCAGCCTGAGGCTTGAAATGAAGGGTTTGTGTTCTTGCTTTGCTTTTTTTGTTTTAACGTTGTTGCTTTCTTGATTTGGGTTTGCATTGATTTTAGGAACAACTAGGTACTTAGCGCATTTGGTCTTGGGATTACTTGATTTTAGGGAACCTTTAGGTACTTACATCTTGGGTGTGTGGTTCTTTTTTCAAAATGAGATGGGTTCCGTTTCAGGTGGGCAGAAGGAAAGGGGAGGGGGAAGGGGAAGGTGAAAGCTGAACTGGTAAAACTCCACCAGGGCCTGAACATGTAAAACTGTTTTTTTGAATCCGGGGTTTGGGTCCAGGAAACGTAAACAACAATCCTAAACACATGTAGATAAATAACTTGAAGAAAATGATCATTGCATGTAAATAATATGTAAACACAAAGAAAACCATGTAAACCCAACTCGAGAGAAATTGCGAAAGTTCCACCCAATGCAAGTCATCGCCTGACTGCCTCTCAGGCTGGTTGGGCCCCTGGCCGGCCAAAATACACAAAATGGACATGCAAACCTAAGCGCCAGCCCCGGACATAGGGCCTAGCCCGAAAGAAAGCGGTCGCCAAACGCCCCAAAAGTACGCGCACAAAGGCGAGGGAAGAGGAGAGCAAAAGACTCTCACCACTTGCAGCCGGGGCTGCGAGTGTTGTCATCAAGCCAAGCTTCCACACGACACCCCGCGCTTGCGCGTCAAGCGTTTGCTTTCGCAAACCTGGCCAACTGCAAAGGCGCGATTCAGCACGTTGCCAAAGGCATGCAACTGAGAAACACGTAACAAAATGCAAATGGGAACCAAGAAAAGCAAGACCCCCCCCTGATGTAAAAACACACATGTAAACATAACATGTTTTTATTGCACCCAAAGGCCGTTGCCCTGAACTTCTCATAAGGCGACACAACCTTTGTGTAGCACTGTGCCCCTTTTTTGCATGGGGATAGTGCAGATCAGTTTCAATCATGCATGACTGTACCAAGAGCGCCTGAAAACAAATCACCACGATCAGCATGTGCCCATTTAAGCTTCGAACCTCCCGACTTTGACTTAGGTGACTGAACTCCAAGCTGGATGGGATGCATTGACACCTGTAAGGACGGCCAACAGATCTCAGGAGTCTCCTTCTGACCTTTCAATCATGGGGTCATTACCCTGAGGTCATCATGTTGACGGTTTGGGGTTGTCAAAGTCAGAAACTGAGGCTTTGGCCCCTTCAACCTTCCACAATGGGCGTGGCTTTGAGGGTACAGTAATGAGGCCTGCCGCGAAACCGGGGGTGGGAACCTTTTCTGAATCATGGAGACTCAAGGCCCTTCTTATGCTGAAAGGCTCACGAGGAGTTCAAGTACATCTCTCTTGGGGAGCTGTCCCTGCCGGCAGTGCCGCAATCCAAGCCGGTCTTTTTTTTGGGGGGGGGTTGGGGGTTGGGGGTGGGGGGGTGGGGGGGTGGGAGGTGGAGGAGTAGGTAGGGGGTTGAGGGTTGGGGGGTTGGTGGGGGGTGGGGGGTCTGGGGTTTTGGGGGTTGGGGGGCATAGGTACCTGGTGGTTTGGAGCTCTGTGGTTTGGGGGATTGAAACACCTTGTTCTTGCAGTGGGTAAATGGGAAGCCACCCCCAACCTCCAAATAGGGAAGCTGATTAATGTTTCCCTTTTGGGTTCAAGCATCACCATGGCTGATGCTGCTTCAAGCAGCTTACTTTGTGGACTCGCTGGGCTAGGCGAATTTTCCGGAAGAGCTTCGGGCTTTTGATGACCATGAGGCAGTCCGGTTGATTTCGGGACGATGCACCAGTTGCATGCTCCTGTGATCCCCTGAAGGAGTTGCAGTGTCCAAGAAACGGCGGTGGCTCAAAAAAAAGATCCGGAAGTCCAAAATGGATTGCCCTGCAAAGTGGTTAAACACGGACCAAAACCTGCGGTTTGCCAGGGCTCCTTAAAAGAAGTTCATTTTGCAACCATTTGAAACATGTGGCTTTTTCACCAAAATGAAGTTGGAAACCACCATTTACAAGTAGCAATGTTCAGGTGTTGTCATGCATCCGGATCCCTGTTTGCCCCTCCCATGGTTTCATTTTGAGCCACCGCCGTTTTTTTTTTTTGCGGGTTTATGAGGTGGGCTCCCCAGACCTATAGGGCGCTCGTTCTGAATGTCCCGTGTCCATGAGGCGGGAAACAGATGGCATGTGGCGGCGAATTGAATGCGGTTTCCGTAGAAAACACGAATGCTCTGCAGTGGTGTTCAATGCCCATCCACCCAATCAGTCCATCCATCATCCAATCCCCCAGTGAGTTTCCTTTCTGCTGCTTCAAATGGTGAATCATGGGAGCACTGGATTCGTGAGAGCCTCTCCAAGAGAAAATCGGATTCCTCTTTAAACAGGAACGGGTTCAATGGACCAATCGTGCGTTGTTTGCTGAAATTACCTTGTGCTCAAGCTGTTTACAGCTTGTTGCTACGCCGGTTCCTGCATTGGCGGGGAAGTGTAATTGTCAAAAGCAAGTCTTGCAGTTGAAGGGAAACTTAGCCGCCCCGCCCCAGAGATTTGGCAATCTGTTAATCATAGTCTGCGCCAATGCTATCGCGATTTCCAGGCGTGCAAAACGCCAGATTGCCAGGGTTCTCAGGACTTGTGGCTCCGCCGCGCGGAACTGTTTGATCGTTGCGCAGATGCCCTAGCGAAGTTTTCTCTGGAGAAACTGCACCGCCGGAGATTTGTTCACCAATCTCGAGAGGAGCAGTTCAGGAAAGCTTTTTCTGGTGGCAAAGACCCTGCAATGTGCGGAGACATGTTGTCAGCTGATCGTAGGGCAATATCGTTAGAATGCAAACAAGGACAAGCAGTCGCTTGCTTGCACCCTGATGTGGACCGACCCTTTGGCGTGGAAGCAAATGATGCTTTGCGGAAGTCAGGTGTTTGTATTACTGCGTTTAACGCGTTGCGATGTGTTAGGGAAGCCATGCACACACGGACACACACACACACACACACACACACACACACACTGAGACGCACTGAGACGCACTGAGACGCACTGAGACGCACTGAGAGTGCACATTTTGCTTTAGGTGAATCCATCCCACAGTCTGATAGAGCAAGTGAATGCGGAAGAGATCATTGCTCTGTGATTCCAGATACACTTGCCCAATATTATGTTAGTGCTGGTCGATGTTTGAATCTGCAATCGTCAGGAAACGCAGCGAGTAATTGACCACTACCCACCAAAGGCACGGACGTCGAATTTTCTGAGCCGCATGCTTCGAGCATCGTAGCGAGGCCAATTTGTGCGGACCTGCGCCTCTCAACGCTGGGAGCCCGGCAGAAGGAGGTTTGGGTGTTTGTGTGTGCGTGTTGGTTTCTTGGCTGGTTTGTTTGTTTGTTTGTTTGGTCGGTTGGTAGGTTTGTTTGTTCGTTGGTTGGTTGGTTGGTTACCTGGTCGGTTGTTTGGTTGCCTGGTTGGTGGGTGGGTGGGTGGGTGGGTGGGTCGATCGGTCGGTCGGTCGGTGGGGAACAAAGAGTGCTGATTGTGGTTCATGTGGCTGGGATGTGCAATTGATATTCAGTGATGCCCACCACAAGATCCGCAATGCTTCCAATTTTCGTGGGGGGTTGTTATTTTGAGTGTAGGAAAGCCAAGCGCGAGCACCCATGTCGGGGTCAGAATCCTATCTGACGTATTGCAAGATCCAACCGAGCCCATTTCCGGGAACAACAGACTAAGACCTGTTCAAATCCAATGAGACACGTGGCTTGTTTTTTTTTGGGGGGGGGATACCCTTTGTTTGTGGCTTTAGCCAGGGACCGCGGAGGGGAAAACAAAACGACGCCAGTTTGGGGGTCCCCGAAAAAGAAGGACGCCCAGGGAGGCCCTTTGTGCGTTCCCTTCTTGGTTGAAGGGCCAACAGCTTGGGCCACAGGTTTTTCCAACTCCCCAGCCCAGTTTTGACCGGAAAAGCAGCCCCGTGGCGGTTTTCCCGATTTTGGTTTCCCACCAAGCGAGGCATTCCCGCGCCCCCATTCTGTTCAACCATTTGTTTTTTTTCTCCGAAAGCAAGCCGTTTCCCTGGTTGCTTGGGATGGTTTTCTGAGCAGAAGGATCCCTGGAATGGGGAAGTTACCAGTAGACCTATTCTGCAGCCGAGAATTTCCTCGCAAAGTCATACCCGGAGAGTTCGCACCGTACCTGGCACCTTCCCCCCTTCTTAAGCTCAGGTGGTATCCCCAACAGCGCACCCACCTGGAACTGAATCTCAGGAAGCCTCCCTGAAAGCTGGCCCAACCACCCAAATGGAGCCTAAGTATCTCGGTGGGAACCAAAGCTGAAGGGTGTCTTTGTTCGAGGCCGCTTTTGTTTGTTTTACTATACCAAAAGTTGATGAGCCGGTTCGATCCGTTTCGGGGCTGGGCTCCCCACAAAAAGTTGTATCACAAATTTGTGGATTCCATTTCAGCTACAGCCCTGGAGTCTTTTGTTTTTTTGTCTATACCAAAAGTTGATAAGAAATTTCGATCCATTTTGGGGCTTTGGCTCCCATCCGAAAAAGAAAAAACAATCTTATTTGTGCTTGGATAATTAGCTCGCTTAGGCGGTAGAAAGTCAGGGGTACGGAAACAAGCAGAAACAGAAACAAAGAACAGGGAGGATTCGAGCCTCCAAGATTTGGCATGTCAGACATCATCTGTCCGCGAAGGCAAGGCCGCATCCAATGGGCGACTGGGTCAGCTGACTCCAACTCACTTACTTGCTTGTTATGTTTTTTTGCTGCCAACCCCCAAAACCAACGACCCATAGGGGTTTGAGGACCCTGATGTGAATCAACAGTTTATTAATCAGGGGGTGTCCACTGCGTGGAGTCGGACCACTTTTGGACCTACTCAAAAACTGGGGTTGGCCAATATGGGGTCAGCAAAAACAAGGGTCTTTTTTTTTGCATCACAGAATGAGATTCCATTTCAACCGCCCTGAAATGGATCGAACCGGATTTTATCCAACCACTTATCTGATACGTTTTCAATCCCAACTCATCTGGGGCGGAACACCAGATCGCCCTTCCTTTTACCCCAAAATTCCAAAGGCCCAAGAAATAGCATAACACCCCCCACTTGTCTTTTTCTTTTGGGGGGGGGCTCTTCTGGGCATCCCCTTTGAACGCCGGCTTCGGCTATTTCGGCTTTAAGTTCTCAGAAGGGGCCGTCCGGTCGGGTTCGAGGCTGGTCTTCGTGTCCTTCACCAACCTGGCGCTGACCTTCCCCGAGATCCGGCTGGCCAACGTGACCACCACCAGCTTTCTGCTGGGCCAGGACCTCCCAAGTCGATCTCCATGCTGGGATCTCGGTGGGATCTCGGTGTCCGGTGGGCTCCCAACTCGAAGGTGCTTTTTGTTTTTCTTATTCTTTTTTTTCCTCCTTTTAGCTGCTTCCAGTTTTCCGCTCTGATAGTGGCCAATATTTTTTCCCGCTCTTGTTTGGCGCTCTCCCCAAGTCGAAGTTGGGTCTCGGTGGGCTCTCGGTGTCCGCTGGGTCGAAGTGGCTTTGGCTTCCTTTGCTTGGCGAATTGGTCCGCTTCAGCTTAGAATTTTCGGAGCAGTTGGTGTGCGAAAAAACATCCGAATGGGCATGGCTTCCCTTGGCTTCCCTTGGCTTCCCTTGGCGCAAAAACAACACATTTTTGGCTTCCCTCGGCTTGGCTTCCAAAAACATCCGCATCGACTTGGGAAAGTCCCTGCCCGACAATACAAATACGGCCGCAGACAGCGGCTCCTTTTTGCGCCGTTCGGACAAAAGCTAGCCGATACTTCCGGAGAACTTCTAAGACATGCACTAGCGCCCTCAGAAGGAGCACGTAATTGAATTAGACCCAAAACTGAAACCCTATACCTACACCCTAATCCTGAAAACTAAACCTCAACCCTAAACCTAAACGAAAACTTCAACCCTAAGCCTATACCTAAGGATTAGGGGGTGACGGCAATGTCTTAAGTCTTGTGGCAAAAATTGGGTGCAGCTGCCCTTTTGGTGTACATAAATGTGGGTCGACCACTTTACGCGATCGTGACTTGCTGTCGGCTTCTTCCAGGAGCTCATTGCTCACTGCATTGCCTTCCTGCTGCTGGCAGCTTAGGTGGAGAGGGGCGATTGGAGCGTGTGCCGTGAGGCTCGGGAGGCGCAAGAGCAGATCTGGTTCAATGACTCTCACAAGAGGTACTTCGCTGTTCTTGGCGTGTCTTTCTTTTTGTTTTTTTTTGTTTTTTTTTTGGTTTTTTTTGGTTCTGTTCATTTTTACTGGGGGTCTGAAAAAAACAAAGTTTTCGCTACCATACCAAGAGTAGAAATGTGTTTTTGGGGAACTTCCGCAGGAAGTTCCGTATCGCGCCAAAACAGCCTGTTACACTTTGTCAGGTATTCGGCTCACAGAGTCTCAAGCCACGGATTTCTGAACAAAAGCTGGCCCGGAAGTCATGCTCGAGGTCAAAGGACTCAACTTGAGAATAACGTCCATTTGGTTCGGAGCATGTCTTATTTTCCGCTGCTGGTTTTACAAGTAATCGAATGGACATATTTTTTCCCAGAAAACGAAGACGCAAAATGGAGGAGAAATGTATGGCATTGCGCCTAGCCGGAAGCTAAGGAGCTACTGTACCGGACTCGAGTTCTGTAAGGACATGGCAACCGGATCAAGTCTATGCAGACCGAGCAAGCGGCTAACGGGGCTAACGGGGCACAGCTTGGTTTGGAGTGTCTTTGTCCAGAATGAAAGGGTTTACCAGCAAACTTGCAACTTGCTCAGGTTTTTTTTTGGATGCTGTGTGCTAGAAACGTCAGCCAGTTTGGGACGTCCTAAATTTGGGACAAACCCACATGTGAGTGCATCACGGCAACTTCACGAGGATCAGCGAAGCAGCCTTTCTTGTGGCAGTCAAGGATTCCTCGACTAAGGGACTCCATATTTCCAGGATGTTCCATCAGAAAAGTTGCCGTTCCGCCCAGAGGAATTAGAAGCATGGACGTCCCGATAGAATCGAAGCGCTGTTCGCTGGTTGGTTTATCAACCAATCAATATTGCGCTCGCATCCCCTAGTTGGTTGCCTGTTGGCTTTCCTTTTTGCTCCCTCGCAAAGCGATGGTGTTCCCTTCAAAAGTGTCCCTTTAAATCACTCCCTTTCACCTCGCGAAGACTAAGGTAGTGACCAACAAAACGACCTCGAGCGTTTTTGGACCAAGCCGCTGGCTCGATTCGATCGGAGAGAGCCTGAGGCTGAACAGCCCGGTGCTCCTGGGCTCCTGCGACCTCTTCGGCAACCCGGCACAGGCCGTTCCGATGTCCGACGCTTTGAACCGCTTCGTGGCGGGGAAGCATGGGGCACCTGCGGGCCCGGAGGGGTCCCAGATTTTTGTGGCCATGGCATCTGAGAAATGGGGGTCCCCATCGTTTGTTTTTTGGGGTCCCTGTTGGGCCACGAGTTTACAGTGAGCTTCCTTTCAGTGAGGTTTCCGCTTTGTTCGAGGGAGCTCTGTGTTTGGTGTTTGACAACGGAGGACTTGTGGCAGCCTTTTTTGATTCTGGGGGTCTCCTCCAAAATTCATTGTAGAGGGTGGACTGATTTTGAAACAGAATTTGGACATGTTAGTCTCTGGGTGCCTGAACTCGCGTGGTGGCCCGAAACGGCGTGATTTCACCCACTCATTCGTTGAGTGCTCTGTTGGCAGTGATTGCAAAGGGAAGGATTGTTAGGACCTGTCTTCACGTGGACAGTGGAAAGGGGAACTAAAAGGGACCCAACACAACAGGCGCGATCAGATTGGTGGGCCAGGTGTGGTTGATCTTTCGCCAAATCGTGGATCAACCAAGTGGGCCTGATTTCTTTTCAGGACCCTCAAAAAATGCTTGGTTTCCTTTTGGTGTCCCTTGGACACCAATCAAAAGGGTACCCCCACAACGAAGACCGAAGCGTCTCATCTTTCAATGTTCAACGCGTGCACGTGGTCGATCGCCTAAACGCCCACCAAAAAAAGAACATCGACGGGACAAACTCCATTCACCTGCCGCCTGACTCGCCGACATTTGGCGAATGACATTTAGGGAACATCTGTGCCCAGAACGGAACCCTCACGCTTCTGTCGGACTTGCCTTTCTGGGGCAAAAACCAAAATACGCCAGGGGGCCGCAGGTGGTGGTCCTTGCTTCCATTTGCCAGGGTTCCAAAAATGGGGTTGCCCTATTTTTGACCCACACCCAGAGACTTGGAGCGGCTTTTTCGCACTGACGGGTTGCGAGATCTTGAGGCTGGACGCTGGATGCTCGAACCCACAGGAAACCCTTTCAGCGGGGTAGATCGCCCACTTTGGACTTCTCAAGGCCACCTCTACTGGTTTTGGCAGACCATTTCCCAGATTTTATTTCGAAGGACGGGTGTGCTAAAGCCACTGTCTTTGGCATCCAGACTGCATCCTTCAAGACGGAAGGATTCCCGATTGATGCAAACCAGCAAGTTGCAAGATTGCCTGACAAAAAATGACGCTGCAGGATGATCACAGGATGGGTTCTACACACTAATGCTGTATGCTTTCTGTGATCCGCAATTTATGTTGTTCCCGTCTCCTAGCAATCCAGCAACACTGGAGACCATTTGAGCGACAACCACAAACTGCCTGGTCCACAGTTTAGTTTGGGGAAGACTTCTCCGCCAGCGAAAAGAGCAAACAACCTGTTTTTTGTTTTTCTCCGAAACACAGTCTCACAAAAATCCCCCTCCACCAAAACAACCAACTGTAAAAAAAAAGGAATTGCGGGCCTGGCCACTTTTGCCCCGTGCCATCTTGCAACTCAGCTCCCAAAAAGATTACCCTCCCTCCCACTAACATGGGCGCCTGACAGAGGGTCCCTTGAGGAAATGTCTCCAGGTATGCTCCAAATGTTAGTGGCAGGAGGGGTAGCCTTTTAAATCCAGACCAGCGCCGCCACATGAACGAAACCATGGTATTCGCAGTGTTTCTGAGCTTTGCAGTGCTAAAACTACATCCCAGGGAGCACCCCTTCTGTTTAAATCAAGGCCCTTTGGGCAACTGAGGCGGGATCATGTTATCATGTTTCTCCGTGGCTTTGGTTCACCTCCCGCGCGCGCCCTTTGAGACCGCAGGCTTACCGCCACCTCCGGTCCGGACTCGGCGCTCTGGGCTCGGTGTCTTTCAGATAGGCGAAGGCTTTCCGGGGTCGATCAACATTCCATTTAAGTCCCCCAGCTTTGAGCAGAAAGAACTTTTCCCATGTGGGAAAGATCAATCAAATCTGTTCAGGGTTTCTGCAATGGTCATAGCGTGTATAGGACCTTTTGATCAAGACGCATATGGGTGGCTCTTCCGATTTTTTAGGGGGGCCGCAAAATGGTGCTGGTTGTTTGGCTGGGTTTCCCTTACAATCACAAAAAAAGAGTGGTACTCTCCGAAGTTGTCCTTTTGGTTTTCCCTTCAAACTGCAAAAACGGTATCATCCAAAAAGGACACACCCGTCAGGCCATGGGTGTTTGAAGGTCCCCCAAGCATTGTGTTGATTTTGGCGGGTTTCCCATTAAAGAGGCAACGCCATGCATGTGTCAAAATGGGGTCGCGAATGCCAGATGTCCTTTTGCTTTCCCGTTAAGCCTAGGAGAAACCCAAAAAGGGGCCAGTTGCTTAGCTCTTCATTTTCCCGGGGGTTTGGTCAAAAGGGAGCAAGCTGTCGCTGGAGCCCCTTGTGCTTGTTCTTAGTGTGTGTGTGTGTTTCTCTTGAGAGGTAATGCTTCGAGAGCATGAAGAGTTCCATTGCTCAGCTCGTGTTTGGCCCATGAAAGAGTTTGGTCCCCAAAAACTGGGTCCTGGTGCAAACCTTGCACGCAAATGTGGGATGATCAAAAGGTCCGGAAAACATGGGATGACAATTGTCTGAAAACAGTTTGGATACGCCTGCTGTGATTTTCACCCGGTCTTCCCCCTGATGGTCCCTTATTAGTGATATTGTAGTAGTAGTACTCTTTTAACCTCCAACAGTGGTGGATCCACAAAAGCCACAACCAAACAGTTTTCTAGGCAAGGCCTGCTATCCTTACCGCATGTACCTTGGTACATCTCCAAGCCGAACCCATGCGGATGTGGGGGGCGGCGAACTGGCCCATGGCATCGGCGATTGGAACTTTGTGTGAGTTGTCGGGGTGAATTTTGTTGTCGCTTCACATTTGGTTTGTCCATTTTCTATAGCGCGTGGCAATGTCTCTTGAGTCATTGCCTCATCATTTGGTTTGTCCATGTTCTATGCTTTTGATGGTGGCAATGAACTGTTTCTTGGTGGCGAAGGGGCCAAAGCAGTTGCTCAGATTGAGCTGAGAGAGAGAGAGAGAGTGAGCGCTGCAATCTGTGAAGCCTTGTTGGTGACTTGTTCTTTGACATACGGTAGAGCAAACTTGGCAAATGGAAGACAGTTAGTTGAAACCGAAACAAGGAACGTCAAAATCCCTGCATTTTACTTCCTGCGAAGCGGATTGCCCAGAAGGTGGCGTCAGCCGATGCCGGATTTGTCTGGAAAATCGCCAAAGTAAGCGTTCTGCCATTTAGGGTCGGGTCGGCCTGATATGCACGGGTTGCGTATATAGACACAATCTAGACATATAAAAGTGTGAAAAGCAGAGCTCAAACTCACCAAGGCTGGGTCCTTGGGTTGGGAGGGGTTAACGTATATGCCAGATACATATACAATAATATATTCTTCCCCGCCCCCGATGGATCTACCTTTTTGCTGTTTCAGGTCTATTTCGGAGATGGAATGCAGTTTTTGATTTGGAGTCGCCCCATGCGACTTGACCAGCATCAGCTCACCCTAAGCAAGGAAATTATCTTCAAGATCTAGTGTATATATATATATACTTGGGTCCTTGGGGGGGGTTACCATATATGCATATATATATATATATATTCATTTCCCCCCCTTGGGTGGACCCAGAGGTGGATGTTATTCTAGCTGCCACAGTCTCCAGTCCCACCCGCAGGTTGGTCAGGGAAACCAATTCGCACTTTTCAGCGTGTCCAAATCTCCACTGTGGATGGACAAAATCCATTTCGCACCACCGTTCAGAACCTCTGGACTGATTCCCCCCTGTAAATACCAACCAACAATGGTTTCAACCATGGTTTCAAAGTGGTGCGAGATGGATTTCGTCCATCCACAATATGCTTGGCACTCATTTGTAGCTGGTTGGACCGTACTACCCACTAAACATGGAATTCGCCCAACATATGTTTGGGGCAAAACACATTTTTGAAGGGTGGTTTGAGGGTCCTGGTTGGTTTCCTTGGTTTCCCAGACAAAAGAACATTTGGTTCCCCTTAGTTTCCCTTAATTACTTGGTTTCCCTTAACTTCTCTTGGTTGTTCCCTGGTGTGTCCTTGGTTTTCCCTTGGTTTTTTGTGGTTTTCCATTGGTTTTCTGTGGTTTTCTGTGATGTCCCTTGGTTTTCTGTGGTTTTCTGTGGAATTTCCCTTGTTTTCTTTTGGTGTCCCTTGGTTTTCCATGGTTTCCCTTACAAAACCACTTTGTTTCCCTTTCCCTTGGTGTCCCTTGGAGGGCCATGGGATTGGCCAAGGACCTGCTGCAGCGCCCGCTGGGCGAAGGTCTGGGCTCCTTTGCCGGCGCCTTGAGACGGAAATTTCCGCGTGCAGTTTTGTGGAGAAACCCGGAGGCTCCACCCGGTCCCCCAGCTACATGGTTGTTGTTGGGAACATGTTTCCCATTTTTGCTTAGTGTGGTTTAGTGGGAAGTCCCCTCTGAACTGCTAAAACTTATTTTGTTGCTCCCCTTCCAACGTCAACCAAGTCTAGGTGCCCTTTCTCACCCATGTTGTTTTTGCACCCATGTACAAGGTAGCTTGCATGCCGAAACAACGGTACATTGGTGCATTTTGCCAAGGGATGTTAGGACTTTAGCTTTTTGCCGACTAATGGGTTTTCCATTAAACCGCTAAAAGTTAAAGTTTTAGCAGGGGAGAAGAAAAAACCGGCCAAAACTCGCTTCCCCAGTACCTTCTTTGGGCTTGTCAGACAATGATTGGTTGACATGTGTGGCCCAGAGTTTCTCACTTCCTGAGTTCCGCTTCGGACTTTACAACTTCCCCTGTAGCTTGTGCATTTTGCCAAGGGATGTTGGGGCTTTATTTTTTTGCCGACTAATAGGTTTTCCATTAAAAGGAAAGCAACCACATATCATATCCTAGGTCCCCCAGTAGTGCCCTCTTCTCACCGTTTCTTTTTTGGTTGGGAGGGTTCCCCTACTAATATGGACTACAGAATAAAGGGTACGCTTATTCTACCCTCTCTACTGGAGGACCCAGACTCACTCACTTTTACCAGTGGACTTGTGAAGGTATCTTCTTACACAACTGATGGGTTGAACCTTCCAACTTTTCCTCGTGTAAGGTATCCAAAGCTCACTTCCCCAGTACCTTTGGGCTTGTCAGATTCGGCTTAGATATAAATAATGATTGGTTGACATGTGTTGCCCAGGTTTTCTCACTTCCTGAGTTCCGCTTCGGACTTCATACTTTTTGGGAAGTCAATCTTAGTGGTAAATGCACGCTTTCTATTTTTTTTGTGGGGCCATCCACTCGGGAAGTGAGGGACTCCTTTGAGACACCCCTCATGTAATGCTCGGTGGTAAGTTCGCAGCAGCACAAAAGTTGATGCGGAGACCAGTGAGAAAATTCATGGATCATGGTGGTGTGTGGGTGGCTCGTGCCTAAACTTCCCCAGAATTGTTTCTCTTTGTTTCCTCCTTTTTTGGGGCTCCCTTTGTTTTCCACTACCAGGCAAAAAATATCATTTTTTTGCTGGGGTCCTAATTCCAGCCAAGTAACATGGTGGCTGTCCGTTTGGTTTGAGGGTCCTTTTTGAGAACTTCCCGTATAATGTGGGGGGTTTCTCAAAGGGGACCCTTTTTGGATGGGTGTCAGGGAAATACCAAACCCTATAGTAGTTCTCAATATGGGTGGCTCGTCCTTTTTCTTTGCAATCCCCCTTTAATTTAAAGCTCCACAAAAACATTGGGGGTATCCTCACAACAAAGAAGCACACCCACATGAAGCAGACTTCGTTCAACTCTTCCTCTCTCTTTTTGTTGGGGGCGGAAAGCACATCCACTTTTTCTCTTTGGGGGGTCATTCAACTGCTCCTTTTTTGGGGGGGAGGCGGGGGGAGGTTCTGGGAAAAGGAACAGATCTATTGGCCAGCTGACATACCCTTAAATGGACATACTGACATACCCCACCCAAAGGGGCCTTAAGGACGGATCTTGGGACCCATGTTCTGCACCCATGTACCAAATTCGGGGAATGTATTTTGCACAACCCATCTATAACCACCAATTTTGCCGGATGCCCCTAAAATCCTGGTAGCTTGAAATTGCCAAAACACTCATCAATTTTCGGACTATGTTCAGGGAAACCAACTAGCAGGGATACCGGCAGAACCAGGGATACGGGAGGATTCCCCCGTTTGATGCACCTTGACTAAGTTTCATATGGGAAATGGCACCAAGGGAATGCCCCCGTATCGGGACCCGCTCCCTCCGTATCCCCGCGGAAGTTCGTTTGTCCAACTTGGCACACATTTTATGTTTAGGTTACCCTCCCAAAAACAAACCTCGACCCACAGGCGCCCAAAAACACCGGTACCCATGGGGTATGTCCATTCTCGGTCTGCCTTCGTTGGCCCAAAGCCGACTTCGTTCGCACGGATCGGAGGCTCGGCACACCGCGTCCGCCTCGCTCCTCTCGGTGGCTGCGGTTTGCGACTCCTTGCGCCGCAGCCCCGGAGACCGGAGACCGGAGGAGTCTGAAGCGACGCAAGTGAGCCGGGCGGGGTTCACCAGGGCCGAGCCATCCATAAAAGGAAATCACCAACTGCATGAAGGGAAGTCACCAACCATGAGTTTGGGGCAAACTGTGATTTTGTTTATTTATTTATTTTGAATGGTAGTTTGAGGGTCCTGGTACCCTCAGCTCAGGCGGTTTGGAAGAACATGTCCAAGGATTGGTGGACCAGTAACGAATCAGAAAGGCTTCTTGCCACACGTGTTATTTTGCTTGATGGTTGGGACTGCCAGCCTTCATCTTGTCTATCCCCTACCATGGAACCTGACTGCAGGGATTGTCTTCCATTTCTGAGGTTCCTTCATTTGAGACACATCCAACGGCTGTTGGTTTGCCTTCTGGAGGGTGTCGTGATCATTACCAGCTGAAACATGTTTTTTTCAACTTACCCCACCCTGAAGGCACTCTTGCCCAACAAAGTATAATATCGGCAATACACAGTGTTGATTTGTTGGCGACGTTTTGTAGTCCCCGCTAGCACCAAGCTTTTGATGACTCACGTGGCCACTTGGGCCTTGGCTTTTCTCTTCTTGAGACGGGACAACCCGATCGCACTTCGCCTCACTTGGATCAAGATGGGACTGTGGTGACTGGGGAGGGTTTTTGCTTGGGAGTTGGTGCAGATGGACCGTGCAGGAATGACAGGGACGTGGATGTGTGTAGTGGCTTGAGCAAAGTGGGCACTGCGCTTGGATACTCGTTTCTATGATGCGCTCTTTTGTGGAGTTTTGATCTTTGATCTTTGATGTTGTCTCGAGCACCTTCTGCCACTCACAATGACCGTTCGGATGTCAACTTAAAACTTGAATCAAGTTTGCATTTTTTGGTTGAGCAGTCTTGATGATCCGTGCGGTTCGCAGCGTTTTGCTTAGCGTGCCCGTCAGCCCGTGGCGTGTCCTTACTCATGGCTGTGCGTGTGTTTCGCCGGGCTCTCAGATGCGGCGAGGCTTTAGTGTGGGATAATTTTGCATAAGAGACCAAACCCGGTCATTGGTCAGGAAACCACCTAGCAGGGATACAGGGGACCAGGGATACCGGAGGATTCCCCCGTTTGATGCACCTTGACTAAGTTTGATGAAATGGCGCCAAGGGAATCCCCCCCGTATCCCCGCTCCCTCCGTATCTCCGCTTGTTCGTCTGTCCAAATTGGCACACATTCAGGTTACCCTCCCAAAACCACACATTGACTCTGCACAGAGGACGCCTTAAAGGTTCTATGTTTGTTTTTTGGGAGGGTAGTTTAGTTGACCACAGATGGCACTGGTTTCAGTTCGGTATAGTTCAACAGGGCAAGGGGCATCACATCATATGAAGTAAAGTTGGTTGCGGATGGTGGACATACCCCATAAATGGGGAGTGGGAGGAGAAGATGTTCCAAGCAGCTGAAGAAATCGGTTAAGGATCTAAGGCTTAGACTAAATCGAGCCCCAACCGTGCCCTCAAGGACAGACACACCCGTTGCGTCAAGAAAATTGCGCGGCGTACGCGCGCCTGCGATAGGGACTGCATCTTACAAAGCAAATCTCGGCGATTCGGCACAAGCCAGATCTGGCTTCGAGTTGTTATACATGTTATGAACGTGACCGAAGGGCAGAGCATAGTGGATCTTTATCTTCATAGCCCGGCCAGGACTTACTCCAGTCATGTTGATGCATTCCGCAGGATCATGCATTCCTGAACGGCACAAGCAAACATTCCTCTCCCAGTCTGTGGGATTCGTATTTTGAGAGCCAGCTCCCCCACCCGAAAGGCAGCCTGACCTGGTCCAGGTCATGCTCAGAATGGATGTTGCCAGCCCTAAGAAAACTCAAGCGCTAGTAAACACCAGCCCTATGCAGGCATAGCTGGAGGATGATTCTGAAACTGTTTGGATGACATAGCTGGGATAAGCACCTACTCGTACCAACTGGTGCAGGATTTTGTCCATCCACAGATACATAGGGACATTTTCAGCTAAAGTGGTACGAAGAGCGACATTATTCTTGAAAAGCCACACTCGCGGAAGCATGTGGAAGGCTTCGTGGAAGGGATTTCTTGCGCGGAAGCTGTGAGGAAGCTTCGCGGGTTATGGACTATTTTAGTTTGTGTGCATGGAACAGCACGGGGAAAGGGTTACAGTACAAGCAGACAGGTGGTGCTACAAGTGCAAGGCTTAGAAGTTGCCAAAAGCTTAAGCCAAGAGGACCGACGCAACGGAACTCGGAAGGTGCTACCGTAAGTGCGTCGAGTGCTCATGTAGGCCCACTGGATCCGAAGGTCTCGGGTGGAACAGTGCTTTCCTTGGCTGTGGTGGTGAAAAATGCGGTAACCCCAAAATGGGTTGCCCTGATACATGGAGCCAAAGACTAAAACCTGCGGTCCAATTCCTGGTGGTCTAGTTTTGACTCATCCGCACTTGTTCAAATTGACTTTCCTTGCGCCAACACTTGCGGAAGCAATCTTGAAAAACATGGTGCCGCGGAAGGCTTGTGGAAGCAAACGAGGAACAAAAACCATGGCGCCGCGGAAATTTTCCGCGGTAATCGGGACCTCTTGGCCAGCAAAGATGCGGAAGGGTCCACGGAAGCTGGAACAAGGTCCAATCAAGCTTAGCTAGGTCCCCAGTAGTGCCCTTTTACCCCTTTTTTGGGGGAGGCTTCCGCTACTAAAATAGACTACAGAAAAAATGGCACCCTTATTCTAGCCTCTCTACTGGAGGACCTAGTTCAGGGGAATAAAAGCCAAGGCTCAGGTGATAAGCTGAAACATGACTGGTAACTAGTCTGTTTTCGGTTCGACCCGGAAGAATTGTTCTACAAACTCGGCAGGGCACGTGTTTTTTTTTGCAACGTCATTTGGCGGGTCGCTTTGTGTCAAAACCGGGAATGCGCTCAAATGGTTGGCTTCATGAAAAGGGGCTGGCTGGTCAGGCGAGATGTGTCTTGACATAAACACCCTTTTGAGTAAGCGATCCAAATAGGAAAACACCATTTGATGTGCACACGATTTATCGAGCGTTGGGATTGGGATAACCCATGATAGAGGTTGCTTGGGATTTGTTTGAGTACGATTTGTCATTGTGATGTGCTTGGAATTTGTTTGCAAACCATTCGTATTTCGGAGAACTTCCACGAACAGTTTGTTGTTTTTTGCCCCTGTTGGTTGAAGGGAATCTACTGTGGATGTATGAAATCCATTTTCCACCACTAAGAAGCCCTGGAATGATAATTTTCCTCTAAATACCAACAAACAGGAGTTCCCCATGGGTTCAAAGTGGTGCGAAATGGATCTTGCCCACACTATCACTTCTGCACATGTTTTTGTTCTGGGAACTCAAGCAAATGGAAGAGGAGCCGTCATGTTTGAGGAATCTTTCTTGAGGGGGTGGCACGTGTGGTGGGGGTTCCATGCTGATTTGCGGTGCAGTAACACAGCAATATGGCAACATGTATTTTGTCAAGAGTTAGTGCAATATTGTTTTATTTCGTCCAAACGGGATATTGGATCGATCTCGTACACAACCCAGTGGATCCATTTACCTCCTGTGTATAGTAGGTAACCAAGGGAACTACCCTTTGCAAACACCTTAGACATAGTTTGCTCACCTATGGGGGACTACTATGGGGGGAACTTATGTAACCAAGAGAACTACCCTTTGAAAGATTCTCTCATTTTCCATCCAAACAAATCCGAACTGGTTCCCGAATCCCAGTTCCCCCATAGGTGAGCAAACCATGTCTGACACCGCTCAGGATATGTGGATTCTCCCACGCCCATGGCAGATACCCGGGAACTTCACTTCTTCTACGGCGCCGCGCTGAGCTAGAAAGCCGGTCGAGCGTGTGGAAGGTTTCAGGGCAACCATGGTTTGTCGTATTTGTAGGCAGACCAAGCTGGCCGTAGCCAGGTTGGCTTTCCTGCTGTGTTCATTTGCAAGGCAGGCAGGGTATGGTACGGGTGTCTTCTTTGTGATCCTGCCCCTAACCGCAAAATCGGGAGAGCTGGCTTCGCTTCCGGGCAGCACGGGACATAATGATGATCGGGGCCTGGACTTCCAAAGACAAAGGTGCCAGTGGTTTGTGGCATGTTGGCTGTGATTTTTTTGAGCTGTAGGTCGCCTCACATGAAACAGCGTTGGTAAGTCGGCTGGAGCTCACACTGAGCTGTTTTTGCTGTTTGGCATTCGCGACTTTGCTGCACACAAGCAATTGAGGCAGTGCGCAACAACAGTTCAGCGGGGGGGGGGCAGTGCGCAACAACAGTTCAGCTGATAACATGTACTTTGAGGCAGTGCCATTGCAGTTGCTGCAGTTCAGTCAGTTACTTGGCAAAGGCTCTTTTGCTCAGCGTTTTGAACAGTATTCCAATGAGGCCGAAAACGATGCTGCCACCGCCAGAAAAGCCGGATGATGCGATCACGGGGACTTGTGCGGTCGAGGTGCCAGTCTTGTGTTGTATTGTTGTTAAATCGTATTTGTCAAATGAATCGCTTTTCATGTACAGGACTCCTTAAAATATACATTTTGCAAACATTTGAACCATGGCTTTTTCAACACCAACATAAAGTTGGAAACCACCATTTACAAGGCAATATTTAGGTGTATAATGTAAGGATTCCTGTTGTAGCGGCGGGATGCCTTGGCCAGTATTGCGAACACGGCCCGTTTAAGTGACATAACATCCTCCAATGGCAGTTGAAATGACATCTTCTTCCAAAAGTTCACTTTAAATGGATCAGGCATATATTGGAGCACACAAGAGGAGCTGGTCTCCGGTTCCTTCCAAGGCGAAGCAGACAAGCTCCAGACGGGCACAAAGAGCAGATTCGCGGCCACACTTAGCAGGCGAGACGAGCCGCAGAGATCTTGTTTGCTTTCCATGTGGGAAAGCCGGATCCTGCTTTTGCTCAAGTGAATTGACCTTTTGACCTGTTGGTTTTCCCTTTCGATCCACTTTTAGAACAAGCGCCAAAGGGGAGCCTATTTCGCGGTCCTTTGGGCAAGCGAGTTTGTCTTTGGGCCAGTTTAGCTTTTGGTTGGCGCAAAGAACGATCGGGCGGTTGAACGGTTGACCACCTACCCACCAGAAAGCTTCTCAGAGCCCCTCAGACAGGATTCTAAGGTACTTTAGAACGTCTGATCGGGTTGGGGGGGGGGGAGTAGGTCCTGAACAGGTTACTTGGATTCTTGAAGACACACCCATCTTCACTTCCCCCACGGGGCCCTGGTCCGCATTCACGGAGGCTGCCCCTTTGTATCTCCAATTCCCGAACAGAAACGAACTGTCGTGATTGCTCAGCGGTGCGATTCCCCGGATGAGCGTCCATATGGGTGTATCATGTTGGAGGGTACCTTGTCTTTGTGGTGTTTAACGGCAAACCAAAAGGGATCCGGTTCACAAAACTTGGGGGGTTCACGCAAGAGGCAACCCCCCGTCTACGAAATGAAGGGTTGGTTCCCACTTCTGTACTTGCGAAAATTCGGTTGGAAGGCCTTCCAGGGGGGGAACTGCTGAAACCTGAAACCCCTGCAAAGTGACCACAGATGGCCAAGAGGTTCATGCGACGTTGGCTCTCAGGTTCTCAGGGAATCAGCGTCGGTTTTTGTTGGGAACTAGGGGGATCAGCTTCGAGCCGTGAGGGGGCATGTCCCCATATGAGACCCAAGTTGAAAAGCGCCCGTGCTGCCTACAAGAACCTGCCCTGAAGGGGCTTCACCAGGACTCACATCGGGCTGTGTGTGTTTTGAACATGCCCTTTTCACCTTGGTTAGGGAAACCAAGAGAACCACCGCCATGCATTTTGGCGGGGTCTGATTTTTTCAGGCATCCAAACAAGGCTAGGCGTTGCCGACTCAAGATTTGCCTCGAGCGAGGCGCCTGGCAAATACGGCGCCTGAACCTGTGAAGGCGCGGCCGACTTGGAGTGGTGCGTTCCCCTTTGATCACTGCGGGGGTCTTAAGCAAAACAAGTGATTTCCCGGCGTCCCTTGTAAACCACCCCGTCAAAAGGGCCCGGATCTCGCGAGGATCTCGTCTCAAGGGGTTCAAATGGGATGTGTCTGAGTGGATTCTCCCTAAAGAGAAAAGCGGAATCGTTTTGGGGGCTATCCACGTGGAAACTTGGTGGCTCCAGCCATCCCCTTAGCCTTTTAGCTTTTTAGTGTTTAGTGGTAGTTTCCATTTGACCCACTAAAAGTTAGGCACTTTTGGGCGGGGGATCTGAGAGCAGCCCAGGAAACAAACCCAAAAGATTGAGGGTTGGCCCGTCTTTTCGGAGTTCGGCCTGGAACCTGCTGAAGACAAAAAACCGAGCAGCTACCTAAACTTAAGGGTCAATGCCGATCCTTTTAGCGGTTTTCTATGAAGACGCTCTACGTTTTTGTTTTTTTTTTTAAATCATTTTTTTCCGAACCGACTAAAAAGCACAGACCAAACCACTGGGTAAACAAATAGCCGTGGGTCAAAACCATGGGGTAGGTGCACCACCCATTTTAGAGCCTATTTTAGCGTGGATTGGGATGTTCACAGGGGGTACGATTTGGATTTTGACCCATGGCCATATTTATTATGGGTCTGTCGGTCTGTCTTGGTACTCCTTTTGTTGGGGTGTTAAAGGGAATCTAAAACAAACACCTACACTTTCGGGGTGTCCCCAAAAAAACCACTGGGTAATCAAATGGGTATCGCTCGTCGGTTTTGGTTTCGGATCCAAACTTCTCCCTGGCAGAGGGTCGCTTTCGAGCCCGCTGGGTTGGTCATGTCGACGGTTGAGGCAACCAATTTTAGTTGACTCACTTGAGCTCAGCCTCGATTTAGCTTCGTCGACATGAGCTTCAAAACTAACTTCCCGAGTTTCCGGACCTGATTCTGCAAAATAACATGTTTATTGGCAACCAAGCGCCGAAGGAAGGAACGTGGCTCGTTTGAGGCGAAAGGTACCCTTAGCAGCCTAGGGAAACCAACAAAAAGTCCGATGCTCTGAGGGTTTTTGTATTACACCTTGGGATTACACCCTTGGGAAATGACCCAGAATGGTTCAAAATAACACGGTTTTATCCGGAAATGTGCCTAAATGGGGTCAATACCCAGTGGGTGTATTCCCAGCGGTAGAGAATCCGTGAAGCTTTGTGTCACCCAAAAAATATCTACCAGCAACCAATTCGATGGTATCTGGGAAGGTTTTCCTCGCACCTTTGGTCGCCAGAAAAGCATAAGCCGACAGCTATGTCAGTATCCTCCCCCCTCTTTGCCACAAAAGGTGTTACTAGGGTTGGAAACCTTGGATTGTAAAACATGTTTGTGAAACAGAATGGCAACTTGAAGCGCTGGACTTGCGTGCTTGCCTTTGTAGTGTTGCACGGTGTCTTGACATTCAATTCTCGCCCCAAATAAAGCCCGGTCGTTTTTTGACTCGACCTCAAGACAACCCAGAAAAGGGCACAAACTCAATAAAGACACCCAATGCAGAAGGAAGAAACACCTTCTGTGTTTTGTTTTGTAAAGCATGTGGCGGAGATTTTTTTTTCTTTTGCCCCTATGAAATCCCGGAATAAAACAATGAAAGAGAAAGATGGAAAACCATTGGAAATCCACCGGGTTTAGTGTTTACATAAGACGACCTGACAACCAAGAAGAGTTGTCAGTGATGGTGTTTCCCTTTCAGCGACCCCCAAAGCGGCGGTGCCCTGTTTCGACAATGGGGCCGGGCCCCCTAAAATGGCCACGTCTTTACTTCCTAAATCGCAGTGGGTCAACACCAATGGTACCAATTTGGGGTAACCGTGCACCACCCAGTTTCGAATCTATTTTAGTGGGGATTGAATCGGATGTTCACTGGGGGTACGATTTGGATTTGACCCATAGCCAAATCATGGTTGTTGTTGGACACATTTTACATGTTTGCTTATTGTGGTTTAGTGGTTGAAATCCAACCACTTAACTGCTAAAATGTAGATTTTTGCTCCCCGAACCCAACGTCAGCCAAGAAATGTTCCCCCTGCTCAAACACCACTTCGCTGTTCTTGGCGTGTTTTTTTTTTTTTTTGAGTTTCTTGGTTGTTCATTTTTGCTGGGGGTCTGCAACAAATACTTCAAGTTTTTTGCTCCAGCCCATACCAAGAGTAGAGATGACAAAAGACCAAACGAAACAACAGACCTGGCGCTCGCTTCAGGTCACTGTCGTGGGCCCCGGCGCCGGCATTGCCGCCAACGCAGAGGCGGCTTCGAAGTCCGGGCAGGGGCGGGGTCCTTTTGTCGTGGCTTTTTTTGGGACGCAAAACTTCCCCAGAATTCGCTCCCTTTGTGTTTTGGCTTTTTTGGGGCCCCATTGTTTTCCACTCACCAGGCAAAAACATATCAGTTTTGCTTCCCCTTTTTTTGGGGGCTTTCGTAAGGGGTCCCCATTGTTTTCCACTCACCAGGCAAAATAAAAGGAAACTAGTTTTTTGCAAAGGGCCCTAATTCCAGCCAAGTAAAGAGCCAATTCTGCGATTTGTCCAAGCCGGAGAAGCCGAACAAAATGGATCGGACAACTGGGTTTTGTGAGCATGTTCTGTGATACCAAGCAGGTACGGATGGCTTACTGTACGGTGATTTCCCACAACCACGACTAGAGGGTTTTCTAAGTTTAGAAGTCCCGACATTGTGTTATATATAGTTATATTAATTATTATATTGGTACATGGCGTTTGTTGCATGACGTGGCAGCGCATTGCGTTCCATTGCATTGCCTTGTGTACATTGGTTCACGCACCGTTCTATACATAAACTAAATAGATATACATCAAAACCGTGCCCATCCGTTGGGAGGTTTGTAACCAATCCACAAGAGAGCCAAGCCTTTCAAGGGGGCCCGAAGTTGCCTGCGAACCAACTGCTGATTCGTCCCTTTGGGACGGACGAGAATCGGACCCGACGAGGACACCTCCAAACGAAAGCACGGCGTGTTGGTCAGTTGGCTGGCCTGTATGAGTTTTAAGTTCCATGTTGGTTTTTAGCAGGTAGACCTTGCTGAAGACGGCTTGAAAGAGAACCACCGCAAAACTTACCAATCTGAGGGGGATAGTTAACAGTGCTTATTGGCGCGGAAAACAAGGCCCTGCTTCGCAAAATAAAAAAAGAGAAAGTGAGCGGACACCTGTTGTCAGGCAAGTAGGAGAAGCATGTGCTTTTGCATGGATTCTCATTACTCACAGTGTCTAGTTACCTAAGCAGAAACAAATATACACGGTAGTTGCGCAATGATTGGGGTAATACATAGGGCAACATCATCATCACACACACACAGACGCACATTCTTCTCCCGAGACATAGGCCCCTGACTTTAAGTTTGAACTTAAAAACAACTAGGTCATTCCTTCCCCGCAAAAGGCCCAAATGATTTCGCGCTTAGGTCGCACCACATGCGACCTGAAAATTTGGCGTTCTTTTGCGGATGTCGGGAGGCCTGGATGAACCTGAAGCAAGACCCTCGCCTCACCTTGTCCTCCTTCGGCCAGTCAAGGACGGAACCCGAGTCGAGGGGCTTGCAAGCGCCCGCACTTTTGGACGGTTTTGGGAAACAGGGGACCGGTGGTGCAGCAATTGTTCTTGAAGGGTATCTTGGTGTCCAAAAGGAGAAGGCAAACGGTTCGTGAAACCACCCAAGTGTGGTCCCAAGACGTCAGGAACTGGCGATTTCGGCCATCCCTTGTCACACAACTCGCCTGGATTGGACCAGATCTTGAAATGGACCATTCTCTCTTCAACAGCCTACATTGGGTTTGGAAGCCGAGCTTTTCTTCTCTTGTCCCCTTACCAGCAAGCAGCTCACGTGGGATTTGGGGTGTTGGCCCAGCCTTTGTTGTTTGGAAGGTCGCTACGGATGCTACCCGAAACCTCCCTGCATCCCGCGTCCCTGGTTTCATTCAAGGGATCTTCCAGCTTATTTTCGACACACCCACATGGACAGCGCTCAACCCCCCCCCTTTAAAGCCATTTTTTGAACCTGGTTGATTTCGGGTGATAGCCTACACAAACCTTGAACATGTTATTACAGGTGGTCACTCACATGAAATGCTATGAGAATCACCCGCCTTCTCTCACAAAGACCTCTCCAGGTTCGAAAAACCTGGCTGGTGCTCAGATCAGAAATGGAATGACCCCTTTCCAGCCATCCATTCAGGAATGCCCCAAACCCCCAAAAACAAAAAGCATCCCATTGGTGCTTTCCTTTAACGGGGCCTCCAACTGCCCTTCTCAACCATCGATGGTTTGCTGTCGGGAATGTTCAGGTAGACCTAGATCTGCTCCCTGGGGCTTGAACTTTTCTGGGGGGTCAAAGTCAGAGAATGGAATCAGTTGTTTCCAAATATGTTTCCCAAAATCCACAGAATGGGAGCTGACTTTGATCGTACAATATGAGGCCAGAACTTGGCAACCAGACATTCACAATACAATACCAACAACAGACATCAAAATTCGAATCACCAGTAGTGTCAAGAATGAGGCCAAAACAACAATCATAGAACAAATTGAATAAAGTCACTCCACATACAAAGCAAAGACAAACACTTTCGCATGTCGCGGCCAAGTCTCGACGCATTTCGCTCGCTGGACTCTCGATCAGGATGCCCTATGACCGCTACCCGTTGGGCTGGCCCAACGGAGCGCCGGGCCCCAACCTCGACGCTGCGAAGAAATTATCTCACCGCGCGCTGTTTTTTTTTTGGGGGGGGGGAATGACACGACAAGAAGACCGGCGCGGCCCCGTTTTTTTTGTTTGTCTGGGCAGCGCGGCCCCGTTTTTTTTGTTCCTTCTTTTTTTTTTTTCTGGGACACGAAAGGGAACACCATGATTTGGCGGTTTTGCCCGTGTTATTCCACTTTGCCAAGTTGTTCGGAGAAGCAGAAAGAACCGCCGTTTGGGGTCGCTTGTGAATGTGGGCGCAACTCCCTCTTTTTTGGTGTTGGCACTAGGGGGCCCAAATAAATGGAATGCGTGGTACTTTCAATCCACATGGGTGTGTCTTTGGTATCCCTGTTTAGGCGGTTTTTGGAGGAAAACCCACATTACGTCAACAGGGCGGGGCAATGCAGCTATGGAGCTGCGACCCCGTCAAATGGCTTTCGTCTGCCCGGGTTTGGTCAGACTTTTTGCAGGGTTCCGGCGCCGAATTTCAGGTTTGATCGGGTGCCCCAAGCCTCTTGCCTTTTGTTTTCCGCAAAAAATTGGGCGTTCCGCAACTGCCGGAACACAAGTCTTTCTTGTTTTGCAAATGCGAGTGTGTCGAAAATGCCGGAAAGCACGCTTAGACGAAATCAATCCTGGAAATACACCACAGATCCGGAGTTTTTGCCGACACTGTTGGTCAGCGGCCATAACTCCATCAGGGAATGCCTGCCGAAGGTTTTTGGAACTGGCATGCCGAAATTCCAGGGTGCAGAAACCTGAGTGATCATCACAAACCAGGTGATTGGAGGGTAAGGGCCTTTTTAATTCTTTACATGGTTCTGGGTAGACCACCTTACCAGCTTTTGATTACGACTCGCCTGCAAGTTTCGTATTCTGCTGCTTGTGCTGTTCAGCACTAGCGCTTTGCTACCTTCAGTTCAGCATACCTCAGCCGTGGATCTTGCCGAAAAAGAAAAAAACAAAAAAAAAACTAGTATTTATCGGGTTCCTCAGAGGTGGCTTGCCAGTTTCAGACTGTTGATGTTGCATGTGTTTGGTGGTGTGGCATCATTTGTTCCAGAACCTCCACATTGATTCGATGAATGCTGTCTTGGTAGTCAATCAGCTGGCTCCAATCACACGCCCGACGTTTCTAGACACTTGATCTAGATGTTGCTAAAGCGGCCGCTTGTTGAAGAGGCCTCGACAGGGGTTCATTTGTGGATCATGACTCAGCTAAAAACAAGGCAAGCAGATCAGAAGCTTGCCCTTCAACTGCCCAGTTGCCATGTACATCGACGCTCCCCGCGGTTTTTTGCGGCTTCAACTGTCCTTTTTATTCTTCTTCGATGCCTCATCCGAACTCCCACCCCAGCGAAGGTCCCGTCGCCGTGTTTCGGCCTCCAACCTCGCTTGGCCCTCGGGAGATCTCTGGAAATATGACGTGGCTATGTTTTAAATGGAGGCCAAAAGAAAACAATCCACAAGAAGCAAAAAAACCGGGGATCCTGGTAGTGCTTTTTTTTTGTGTGTTGTGAGGCTTCCAGTCTTCCCCTGGGCCCTGGGGGGACACTTGGGGGCCGTTTTAAGACAAGGTCGCATTGATCTGAGTCCAGTTGTTTTTTTCGACCGTCGCCTTTGCATTTTGCAGCTCAGGAGACCTTCGCAGAGGAGAGATGAGACTGGGGGTTGATGCCAACCGCCCGTTTTTCAAGACCATCTTCCCCCCACAAAAAAACAAGAATCAAAAACACCGCATGTTGCCTCAAACTCAAGGGACATGTCCGCATTTTCAACCATCGTTCCTTTCAAAAGCCGATCGTTTTCACGACGGGAGGTGTTCTAAGAAGGATCCCGTCAAAGGTGGGCCCCTTTTTAAAGTGGTCTCGCGTTCTTTTTGCTCCACTGGCCTTTAGGATGGCGTCACGTTTTTAGTTTGTGAGAGGCCACAAGGGCGGCAAGTGGCCATTTCGGGTCGAATGCTGCGAAGGATGGGGGAAGGGGAGCTCCGGACACAAAGCAAGCCTTTGGCCTTGGGACTGGGACCATTGGGACTGTGCTTCCCGAAACCGGGAGTTTGTGACTCCAGTTCGGAGAGCAAACCAACGGACATCAGCCTTCGACCTAACCGTTCTCACCAGGGTTTGTTAGGAAGCAGTTGTATATGATTCAGTTGAGCCAAGATTCAATGCAACTTATGACTGAGATATGCACATTGAATGTTAGGCAAACATACAAGGTACAGGCTGTTATCAGCTCTGTTGAGTCGGACGATTTGCGACCATCATCTACTTGGTGCTGCAACACGTGAACATAGCACCTCATCAGATAGCCTTGGCCAAGGCGTGACAAGCCCAAACTCAAGCCCACACAAAGTGCAAACTCGGGACGTTAAAGTTCGTGGCATGAAATCTATCATTTGGGAGGGTTTAGCTGGTGTTGACAGGCCAGTGCGTTGCAGTGGGATTAGTAAGCCGCGGAATGAAGTGTTAGGGGCTGTATTGCATGGACCGCTGTTAAGAAAGCTTAGCAGTAAGTGTATCCGTTGGACATGTCACACGCACTTTGAACTACTAAACTGACGTACGCTCCATGCTGCTGTGCTTGCTTTTGGAGAGATGCTGGCTCTGCCCATGTCTTCATCGCGCAGGATGGCGGGCAACCTGCGACCTACAAAGCACATGGAAGCACAGTCCTCAACTAGTTGAATCCAGATATCAGCTTCAATATGTATCGCAGCCCCGGTGAAAATCGTGTATCTATTATAGATATATGTGTCCATATATGGGTATATACATACATATACGACTATATATATATAGAGATATGTTATCCCCTAGTGAGTATAGCTACAGGATCGGGCGATCTAGTTTGTTTTTGTGTTTTCACGCAGTAAGACGCGGAAAATCCCAGACACCTGAGCAACATGCTTTCCATTGCTATTTCATACCTCCAAATCAAAGCTATTTCCCTCCGAACCATTTCCCTTTTGAATCCTCCAAAAATGGCGATCGTTTCAAAAGACACTACCAGGAAGTTATAACATCCAGTGACCCCTGTCTTCTGCTCACTGAATTCACTAGAACCTGCTTGACTTCCGCAACAGGCGGCTGAAAAGCAAACTGCAGTACTCCTCCCACACGGCGGCCTCCCTCGGAGTGAAATCGGAATGCGAAGGACCAAGGATCCGATCGGGACCCCATTTTCTTGGTGGCTCCCAGCTATCCGGTTCCTTAGCTTTTTAGTTGGTTTTATTTAGTTGGTTTTAGTTGGTTTAGTGGTAGTTGCCATTTAACCCACTAAAGTTTATGTTTTAGCAGGGGATCTGAGGGCAGCCCAGTTTTGAGCAGCCTTTGGATGGACTCTTGCCAGTGTCATTTTCGCAGAATAGCGACGTTTCAGGATATGCCCAGCCGACATTTGATGAAGGATCACCTATCCCACCGAAACATCACCCCACCCATGGCGACCTCTGTCAGCCCTGGCACTGATGTTCGAGCCACAAAAAAGGGAATACTCTGAATGTTTATTCCACCCAAAACAGGAACATGGTTTTTTGTTGTTCAATGGCGCCCAAAAAGGACTAGGTCCCCCAGTAGTGCCCTTTTACCCTTTTTGGGGGGAACCCTTCCCCTAAAATAGACTACAGAACCAAAATCGGGAACCCTTCTTCGAACCGCTTAACTCTGGAGGACCTAGTTGTTCACTTGCGCCCCAAAAAGGAACTTCAGCGGTTCTCCAGGGCTCCTTCAAAGATACATTTTGCCCAATTGAAACATGGCTTGTTGCACCAAAATTTCAAGGAAAACCTTTTACAAGGCAATGCTCAGGTGTATAATGCATCCGGATCCCTGTTCTCCGGCGGATGTTTTTTTTGCCTGTTGATCAGATCACCCCCAGTGGCAGGAGCTGTTGGCCGCCGGCGTGGTGGAGCAAACCGAGTGCCGCGCTCTTGGCCGTTTTGCAAACCCAAAAAAAACGCGAACCCCACCCGAAAAGGCCGTGGTTGTCAAGCATAGGTACCCGAAAATGGGTTGCCCTAAGTGGAAACGTGGCCCAAACCTGCGGCACAATTGCTTTGATTTCGACCCACGGTCAACTGGGGCTTTTGGGTCCGGCTCCACAAAGCGATTGTTAGTTCTGGTGTTTTGTGGGCAGCCCAAGATGGGCTTCCTTTGTTGGTCTAAGCCGACCCCAACAGTACCGAAGACACACCAAATCATTGGGTCAACTCTTGGCAGGGGGTTTGGTTCACATCCGTAAATGAAGGCCCCGTCTTGGGCCATTCCCAGCATTTACCAGGTGAATGAAAAGCCAAGCAAACCAGTGACCAGGGAGCCCTCTGCAGATCAGGCTTTTGCTCTCGCTGCAAAACTTGATTCGTTGGACAAGTTTTAGGAGCTGGTCACTACCCTTTGATGGTGTCATGGGGGCTAGGGGGAGGGAGAGGGTGAGGGAGCCTGAATAAGCCCTAAACAAGGGCTTAATTTGGGCTCCCTCACCCTCCCCTCCCCAGCCCCCATTGCCACAATCAAAACCCAGGTAGATGAAGGTTAGTAAGGGATACTCCCAACCATAAATGGCCGCCTTCTGAATGTTTTGCATGGTTCTGGGTAGACCATGTTAATACCGGGTTTTGATCATGACTCCCACGTGGTGTGACTGACCGAAGAACTGAAACATTTCTACAGGTCGTCGGGCTGGCGAGCTGCTTGATTCATTGCCCATGATCCGAAGCGCGAGAGTTCCCTTTACTTGCATTTGCCTAAGTTGCTGTTTTAAATAATTTCCGCTGTTTCAGGGGGGCTGGGGGGGGGGAGGGAGCCCAAATAAGCTCTCATTAAGCCCTTAATAAGGCCTTATGTAGGGCTTATTTGGGCTCCCTCCCCCTCCCCTCCCTCCCCCCCGGCCCCCATGACTGTTGGTTTTAAAGGAATCCATCATGACTGTTGGTTTAATGTGATGAACTACTCACGGGGATGGCCCACTTCGGCATCTCGGAGATTTTCCACAACATGCATGTAGCCTAATACGCAATCATGGTCGGCCCGTGACTGTACAAGGGACCTTAGATAACTATTAACTTTCTTAGGACATTTTTCGAGGTCATTGGGTGGAACGGGAGGTTCCCCAATCCTGGCCATGTGAGTCTACGTGCTTGCTCCCACTGAATTGCTCCACCGATCTGTTCTACGGGACCCGTCGGTGAAAGAAGCTTCCGCGGTCCGCGTGACACTTACCCAGCCCCATCCGCTTGGGGAAGCCTGGATCGCCAGTTGCTGTTTTTTTCCATCCACTATACAGAAAAAAAACAACAACAGTGACTGAAAGAAGCAGCAACTTGGCTATCTAGGAGGTTAGTTCAAGATGTGCCACGGGTCCAGGTCCCAACAGGCTCGATCATTTCTGTCCAGTTGTTTTTGCGTCCAGCACACATGCTTACCATTTCGATCCTGGTCCAATTGCTGAAACAAATATGTGTTTTTGTAATTGTCCAAGCTTGGTTTTAGGAATTTATCACCACTGGACATTCATACTTTTGTCCAGGGGTCGAATCACATGGAAGTGGTCCATGTTTCGGTCCCCCAACAGCTCAGCTTCTTCAAGATCCATGGCGTCTTCTTCGATCGGATCGGATCGAGGCTTCATCTTGGGCTCGCGGGGCGGGCAGATCGTTTTGCCCTACCTCTGGGAGATGAAGGGCGACGCCTCTCGGCAGAAGGGCTCGCTTCGATGTGCTCGGTTCGATGCTCGCTCGAGTGACTCGTGCCGGCTTCAGACGGCCTCCGTTCAGGGGACAAAAGGGCTTAGACACCCACCGGGTGCTTTGTTTTGTTTGGGAGAGGGGGAATTTGTTTTAAGGGCTTGATTTTTTAATATATTTTTAAAGGATTTGGTTTGCTTGCCATGGATAATATTATTTCCTGCGTAGGTTATAGGATTCCTGACGTTGTTCCGCTTAGGACGGCGTTTGTG